TTGCCGCCATGCTCGATAGCGAGGAGTCCTGGGAGGCGGTGGCCTCCTTTTGCGCAGAGGTTATGTCGCAAAAGGAGACCGCAGAGCGGGTGCGCGAGGACGCGGCCGACGCGCACCCGCTTCGGCGCAGACGTACGGGGAGAAGGCGAACGCAGTTCGCTGCTCGCCTGATCCCCTAGTGAGACCAGCGGGCTTTGGACAGGGACTCCGGAGCCTGCATTGCACGACCTCACTCGTCTGGGGGGCGGGTTGGAGGACAACCGACTCGCCCCTCCGTTAGTCCGGGGTAGGCCCTCCAGTCTGGAAGGAGAGTCCCCACATAACCCCTGAGTCTCCCTGGGCTCAGTATATAATCAGGGGGAAATCTTTATGGATACCCCTGAGGGTATCCATAAAGATTTCCCCCCCGTCAAAAAAAAAAAAAGGTTCTCTGTAAGGCACGTACAGCGCCCTCCCTATTTTCCAGACAGGTACCGGAGCTGTAGGCACGCTCACTTCCCGTCGCGCTCCGCACGACTAACGGTTGGCACCGCTGAGCCGCCGACTCTAAGCCGACTACCAAATCTCTTCATTGGTGGCGGAGCTGTAAGACACGCTCACTTCCCGACGCCGAATAAACGGTGTCTCTCCAGTTCCCAAGTTCCTATGGCCGGAGAGACCGGAAGATGTCTAGCTCATCCTCTACTCGCTCTCCGGACTAGTGCCAGAGATGTCAAGTGGCAGTGTCCTGTTACAATGTCCGGACATAGCCAACGACTTCAAGGGCAATTCACGTGTCCCGCGCGTCTCGTCGCCCCAGGCCCTCAACTAGACCGCTAATAAGACGCGCTAGCTGCGCGCGGGACGAACGCCCCGGTCACATACTACCGGGACAGACGAACGTGTTCATCCCTGCAGCTAACCACAAACCCCGGCGAGTCCATACCTAAGTCCGGGTCCACCAGAGACGCCCGTGAAGACGTATAACTGGCGGAGGGCTGGGCCCGGATGCCCGCCGTACCCTGGTCTTGCCATCAAGCCCGTAGTCTCTCCGGAAAACCCTATCTCGCGGGTCGGTAGATAAGGACCGGCGTAAGGTACAGTCAACAGTACAAGCTTGACACTGTACTATGGATCGACGTTGTCGGAAGCGGTATAGACTTGGATTTAATCTTAAGTGTCAAGCCTGAGGTGCTCTTGACCCAGGAAAGGAAAGGAACGGAACGGAACGAGTGGGGAGGCTCCTTTCTTAAACCTAATAGTTTCATTCAAGAGGCATTTGGAACTTCGTTTTATTTTGCGTGGAAAATATACAAAGTTATCTATCAGCCCGCCTTTTCAGCGTATCTAAAATTCTTCACAGTTTAGATATTGGATTTTAGGCCTAAGAACTTCTGATACTTATCTCCAAAGTTCCCCTTTGGTTCTAAGATAGATACGGAAAACCATTTTGAACAACTGTCTCTAATTTAAATTCAGTATTTTTTCTGAGAATGCAGCTGTGGCATAAAAACGGGGAAGTTTTATCGTAAGGGTTCCTTTTGTACAGTTTTGTGGTCACGAAAATGAAATAGTGAAATTGTTCAGGCCGCAGAAAACCGTAGGATGAGGTCTTCTTGTTAGCGTCGAGTATCGATGGAACACACTATAATGCTTGCACGGATAGGAAAGGAATGGTATACGTGGTGTGGGGAGGTTCCTTTCGTGAACACCACGGTGGAATGAATGATGATGAGTGGTTAGGATGAAGGTGGCCTTGGGTGTCACGTAATGGCATAATAGAGGAGAGAACTATATTGATGATGTTGAGTCATCGGCGCGCAAAAAACACCTATGTTAGGTTCTAAATAAAAAAGAAACTAAAATAAAAACCTCCATAAAATATTTTTTTTTAAATTGATATTCAATTATTTTTTTGTAAAATAATTCCACTAGTTATAATTATTAATACAAAGATGGAATACTTAGAAAAAATTCATTCGATCCGGTTGGATTCGAACCGACGTCTCCTAACAAACCGTGGCAGACGCTATGCCAACTAAACCACGGAACGAACCAGTGGACCTGACGAATTTTTCTATGTGCTTGTCGGATCTTTGTATTTTGTTTTTCAAAAAATTTTTAGCCGTAGCGCCATCAATGAGAAACTATGAAAGTATTTCGTCACCTAATTTCAATAAGAAGTACAGAATAAAACAGGATTCAGACAAAGACTAGGATTTTTAACAAAGAACTTAAATCGAAGTCTAGATTCGTGATTAGGCTAAGGCCAGTGAACGCAAGGCTTCGCCTCACCGCAAGCGAATTACAGCTATTTGGCAATTACTGTAATTTAAATACTGCACTTTACTCGTAAGTTTTAAGGTCTTAAAACTCACGCGCATGCTAAAATAGGTAATATGATTTATGCCTTGTTCGGTACTAGATGCCCACACGTTAGGTGTTTGAGAAGCTAGCAATCTACAACTGTACGGCAAGTGTCAAAATTCATCTTTGAAAGTGATACCTGACACTATTATCACAGGCTTTAAATATGCAGTTTTTTATATCAAGTGACGGGGAGAACAGTGCAATAACTTCTACTAAGTTTTGATTATAGTGCCCTAGTTAATCAACGATTTTGTTATACGGGAAGGCCACTACTACCTCTGCAAGTAAGCCTGCACAGGGACCTTATCAGTTAGGTACTGTGGATCTATTGCTTATCTATTGCGTATTGCTTATTCGACAGTCATTGTTTTGGACGGGTCTCGGACGGATAATGGGACAAGACCCCCAGACCCCAGCTCAACACGTTGACACAGACTTCATCAGATTCTCAAAAGCCTGTCTTGGGTAGCGCCCCTGGGTGCACGTACAGCATCCTCCCTATTGTCTAGATAGGCTCGCTCACGTCCCGCTATGCATTGCACAACTAGCAGTTGCCACTGCTAAGCAGTTGACTCTAAAATGAAGGGAAGCACAAGTGGTAAGCGACACGCCTGTCCATAGCAGTTGCAGTAGCGATGTGCGACTTTGAATGTTACTAATACTAATCATTCGAATGGGCAAATCATTCGCCTAAGTCGAATCTAAGCACAATCATTCGACTCGAGGCGAATGATTAACGATACCGAATGCCAATGCCATTCGGTCGGGTGCACCAGTCGAATGATTATTATATCGGAACACCTCATTCATTATGTCCATACCAAAATATCCCTGTCCCCGTCACATTTACAGTATTTACCACTTTGTCGGAGAGGGCTAGGTGATCACGAGCAGAAACGCTCTATGGAATCTATGGATTAGTACTACTAATTAGTAATTAATGATCATTCTAATCATTCGAATACGAAAATTGGTAAGTTACTAATTTGACATTCGAATGACAGGATTAGCGATTACTAAAGAGTCGAATATCGAGATCATTCACAATCGTGCATCGCTAAGTTGCAGTACCACTGAAAGCTTTAAATTGCAAAGATCTAAGGGTCATTGCCACTGCACCTGTCACTCTGTGACATTTATATGACAAATCCTCTGTGCCTCTTTCACAGGAGTTCTACGGCTCTTTGTGTAACTTAATGTGCGGTTGAGTGCATGGGTACACTCTGAAATGTATACGGATAATATTGTGACACCGACTTATTTTTGTATACTAGTTGTAATATTTCAGCTAATTGTATTTATAGTAGGTACATAACAAACAACTTTAGGGAAAAGAGATAATTAGAAAAATACTATTAATATTTGTTATTAAATATAAAATTTCTCCTCATACACAATTATAAAGGCTCATACACAATTATAAAGGCACACACTCATTGTCTCACACTAGGGAAACCCTGTGTCGCAGGTGTCGTGGACTCACACATAGACAACCACGAATTACACCCAAACTCACCAGAGAAATAAATGTAGGCTACACAAATATTTCTCCCGCCCCGGGAATCGAACCCGGGACCGTAGCGTGGCAGACCAGCTTGTTAACCGTTCGGCCACGGAAGCAGTACCTACTAATTAATTGCCTAATTTGTATAATATGTGAGAGTACAGAAAATGAATGATAATTTTTGACGATTAAACAAATAAGTACAATCACTGAGAATTAGAGAAAAAAAATGCCGTAAAACATTTTATTTAAATTTAGCGTTTTAGCCAGTCAATGAAATAAAATAAAATATAATATGCAAACAAATTTCTATGTATTTTTTATTTAACAAAAACTAAATTATGGTTACATTTTTTGTGTAGAACAAACCGTAAAAGGCTTGCTTTGACGAGCGGATTGACACGGTTATGTTTGTTATGGTAGTATGGTAACTTAAAATAAACAAATACCCTATTCAAACACAAACACAAAATAATAACAAAAACATTACAAAACAAATTTAGAATGTTATGGTTTTAAACAACTATACCTATAAATAGACAGGATTTCCTTGTCATTTATGTGAAAGTTAAAAAAATTACTCATTTCATTTTTAAGAACTCACTTTTTTCATGTCACATTTTTTGGGGCGATATATACCTATATAAGAAAGTTAAAATATTTTTACGAATAATCTACAAACAATAGAATAAAATTTTTATTTTGTAGAATAAGCTTGAAAAATTATTACAGGTTCTTTCAAACAACATTTTTTCACAGAGCTTCAGTCATAGGAGGACTTTAGGTCATTGACACATTGACGTTCAGAGTTCAAGATTCATTCTCAAGCCGCAAATTAGAGTATAATTTATAGGGAGTACCGAAGTGTTGTGTTTATTAAACATACACTTATCTCGAATTGACACTATGTGACCAGTAGACATACTACGTGCTATGACTCACTTGATAGTGCTACTAAAAGCTGCAGTCACCTACGCCAGTAAGCGGAAAAAGGAAAACTGTTAAGCGACTATCACAAAATGTGTAAGTGTAAGAGAGATAGCATTAGATTTCCAGCTACGTTTTCCTCCAGTGAACGCTTGCCGGGTATACAACGACACATAGTCGGTTAGTTTGTTTTTTCCATTCGCTTCCTTCAGTATCGGCCGCGCCACCGAGGCGTATGTGTTACTCGATTCGCTCTGATACAGTGGGAAACCGATAAAACACGCTGCAAATACAAAGAATTAACACCCTTATTTCTGTGCTTATCATTTAAAAACGTTCACCGACCTTATTGATATCGCGAAAAACGACTACAGACGCGTTATTACTTTGAGTTTTCAGTTTATCTTTTGTTTTGGTTTCTTTATTTTCACCGGGAAAAGGCCGGGTGCTTGTTAATAAAATTGTGCGTACCAAATAACGTTTTAGTGAGGTTTTCTTTGTTCAGTGACGGTTCTTACAGTACTTCTTGTAACCTACGACGTTATTCCAAGTGTTTTCGTTTGGATTATTTTGTTTTTTATTCGCCGGCAACTCTGGTGCGACAAGCCGAACACGTGCATTGTCACTCGGTGCCGGCGTTTCTAAGGTAAGATCGAAAATGTTGAATTTCAAATATTTAAAAACGTTCTTTAATGTAATTTATTAAGGTTTCAGCCAGTAACAAAATTCCTTTTTTTCTCAATAGCCATTAATCTAACTTATTTATTGTTATTTATACTACAATTTGATAACGCATAGCCACCTGGACGGGGAAAAAAGATTAGGATTTCCTATGTACCATACACAGCTGTTCTATAGCTGTTCGTATTGGGTGAATGTAGTGACGTAATGTTTCTCGTAAGTGTACGATGTTGCCACGCGCTCCGGTTACCTTCTATATACTTACATATGTATTGTATAAACACTGGGCTTTTTCAACCATAAGCCTATTGTGTATAAGGTGCATATTGACAAATAGTAAATCACTGTATGTTGGTAAGGCATAGCTGTCATTTGATGCTAAGGTTTCTTCTAATGTCAGATGTTAGGTATGTACCTGGCAATAATAAATAATTACTATCGAGGCTTCAACAGGCATTTGTTATAAAGGCGACGGAAAACTTAGGTACCTTAAATGTGTTTATAGAGCCTAAAACGGTTTTAAATTTGGAATTCGAAATTCAAAATATCTTAAAATTCGTAAACGAATTACACGAAATCGTCACTTAATTAAACGATACTACTCGTTCGTTAAATAGATTTGAAGCTGCGTAATGAATAACCTTCTATATGAAGTTTTTAGGATAATTTATAGTCCTGTTTTGAATGGCACCTTTACATGAATTTGAATTTTTTAAAGACGACTGTCAAGAACCGTCAATTTATTTTTGTTCCTCTTATTAAAATTAAATCTGTTATAGTTTTATTCATTAAAATTATTATTCTTCTTAATATAAATTACATTTTTCATGAATGGTTCTTACTTTCCCTGCACTTATATCTCAGAGACACTCGGGGGCGCATTTAAGGTAAAAGTAAAGTGTAACCTTAAGTTTTTTGACGGGTGGGTGGAAAACAGTTCTTATCCAGTTGATAAACTTTGTTTATGTAGAACCCAAAATAATTGAATAAAAGGGAAATAATAAGTATCCGCATGTAAAAAATTGTTATATTAATATTTAATTATGATTGGCATTAATTTACTTTGTCAATAAATTATTATTTTTTGCTCTGGCAGGTAGAAAGTAATTCTTTTTAAGTAGTCTTAAAAGTTTATCGTCGCCTTACTTTCTCATACTCGTATCTTAAAGCACAAAGTAAACGCAAAAAATGCACTGTATGTACTAATGTTGCAGGATGATTTCACGTCACATTTCCTTCATTTCACATACTGGCATATAACATACAGAAATTTAAAATAAATAGAAAGTTTTGCCATCTCATGAATAATAATTGTCTATAAGATATGTACGTGTTTTTTACTTAATTTCATAAAAATACAAGACAGTGTCATTCACACGAAATGTCCAAATATTGTGTATTCTAAGCGACTTAACGATAATATTAAAGTCGCTAATGTAGGAAATGAAACTATTTTTCCGGATTTAAATCGCATATACTTGTTTTTTCAAACAAACCGACGTCAACCGTGACCATGGGACCTGTAAAGGGCCCGAAACGTCGGTTTGTTTGAAAAAACAAATATACGCGATTTAAATCCGGAAAAATAGTTTCATTTCCTATGTGTAACAATCGCGAAAACCTAAGAACTCGCTAATGTAGTAAATAAATCACAAACATGATATAATTTTCGAAGTATTAGGTTCATTGAATAAGAGTAATTTCCATGAAAAATACGAGTCAAAGACGAATGTAGTTAAATCGTTTGAAGTTTTTTATTTTTTATTTTAGGTTTCTTTTTAAACAAAGTTCAATTCAATAAATGAAATTTATTAAATTCACTTCAACGGCGATAACAACGCAATTGAATCTTCAAGTAATAAGATGGCTTATGGGCTAAACTCAGTTTTGGAAGAGATCTGTGCCCAGCAGTGAGACTTTAGAGAAGTCGAAATTGAATGTGTTAAAAAATAAGATTACTTTATAACACTAGGCATACCTAACAAGTTTTAGTGAAAAATTCAAGTTAATAAAGGCCCGATTACAAAAACATTATCATTTCAAGTCATAGTTCTTAATTCAGGAAGTTCCATCTGGTCAACATAATGCGAACTGCTGTAATTTTGGGTTTTGTCGAACATTTTGTCTTGTCATGAAGTTATGGCTCCTCGAACTGGTTTACAACCCAAAAAACGTATACCCAAATTTACCCCTATTTAAACCCAAAAGACTATTGTCTGTTACTAAACTCTGTGCAAAGTAGCTTATTTATTTATTGATGTTGAGATAAATTAACGATTTTATTATTATTATTAATTAAAACGGGACCCTGGAACCTAATCCAAACTCTGAGTTCGGGAAGCCCTACTTCGTTTCACTATTATCTGTGGTTACTAGCGACCGCGTATGCATGTGGAAATTTTTACCTCTTTTTGACTACTCACAATTACTGTTGTTGAATATCGTAAATTCAGGTAGAAATCTGATCTGCTTATAACTTAAGTTATGCAAGTAATAATAATAATATCCTGTAGACCCAAAGTCGAAACAACTTTATTTCATAAGTAAGCAAATTACACTTGAAAAATGTCATATTGATTAAACTCTACTGCTCATTATCGTATCGTAACGCAGATTCCCCCGAGAAGAGTGAGCAAGTAACTCTATGGGTTAATCTTTGTAAATATTCAATTATACACTTTTATTTCAATCGCGACTACCTACAAGAGCTAAACGGGTCACTACCACGGAATTTTGTCATCCAAATACGCAGAAGTTGTTTAATATCCTTTAGTACAAACTTTTTGTTTCAAAATAGTTTAAAGCCTCGTAAACGGCAAATTTTGAATATGAAATTCACACTAATGATGGCAAAACCTGGTCTCAAACTAAGAAATACCCTGCGCTTTAGTATTATAGTAAAGGCATTCACTCCGAGGCAATATCCAGAACCACCAGACCAGAACCAATCAATTTAGAAAAGTTAATTTCCTAAATTGGTTACACACATAGATAACCACAAACCAAACTCACGAAAGAAATGAATGTAGACCATACAAATATTTCTCCCGACCGGGGAATTGAACCCGGGACCTCTGCGTGGCAGCCCAGCGTGGTAACTGTTCGGTCACAGAGGCAGTCAAAATTTTTTTTTTAATAATTTTAAGATAGATATTTTATGTTCCAGTGAAATTCTTTACGTGACGCAAGTAGGGAATGTATGACAGGTAACCTGACACGATTTAAATGTAACAATTAAGTTAATTTAATCAAAAACAGTTTAAAATTACTTACGAAGGACTTACTGTTCTAATAACTTAGTTATAGACAATTCCATTTGTCAGTTTAAACGTCGTAAGTTTAGGAGTTGATTAGTTGATGGGCTATATAGGGTGTATAAAAAACATACGAAGTGTTACCATACCTTAAAGTTTAAAATTCTAGAACCAGAGCTAGTTCATGATCAGTAAGAGCGTTTACCGGAAAATTAAATATCAGAATGCGATAGTACGGGGTACCCAGTTTCGATATATGGATCTCAAAAAACCAACTACTGGCTTTGCAGTGCGATTTCCAAGTGCCTTCTGCATAGTTGCTGCTTACTGCTCCTCTATAGAGAAGTATTAATAACGTACTGACAAAATTCAATAATTGACACTTTATTGTAATAGCTCTTTCAAAGCTACAAGTTGTGTTTCACAATTGTAGCAAACACATCTCTTTTTTTTCGGTACCTCCAATGAACTCTACGTCAACTTAATTTTTTGGCCATTTTCTGTTTTTAATGTATGTTTACATGCCTTATTTTATTTAGTAATATTATGCACTCTGAATTTTTGAAAAAAAAAATAAAGATACGAAAAAAAAATAAAAACAGAGATGACAAAAAAATTTAGTTCATTGGAAGTATCGTTTTGTAGTATCATTTTCATGTAACTGCAAAATATGTTAAGTGATTTAAGAATAAGAATGTAAACATTGTTTATTATAAAATAAATACTATTTCAATTCAAATTCAATGATTTACATTGAAAATTCTATATTGAATCACTCCGGCGCGAGGTAGTGATTTTATTTGTGATTTTTTTGTGCGGTTACTATATTTTAAGTACTGTCTATAACACCTGTAAATAACACCGCAACGGTCCGTTTCTCTAACTGTATGCTATAACCTATTACCATGGAGAGGTAGTCAGGTCTTGGGTCTCTCATTCGGTTTATAATCTCTAGGACTAAACTAAATGCAAACCTCAACTGGTGACCTAATGGTTTGACCTATAGTCTGTCAAGCAAAGGCCGTGGGTTCGAATCCGGCCTCTCACGTCTGAATTTTTCGGAAATTATGTGCAAAATGTAATTTAAAGTTTACTATGACCTTTTCCGTAAAACAACGTGATGAAACTGCACGTCGAAGAAGAACTTACAACCCTCGAAAAACCTTCGCAACCCGCATTTGGTCAGCGTGGTGTACTATGGCGTAAACTATAGTTCCCCAAAGTGGTCCCTACCGCCCCCCAGCGAGCGCTGAAGAGTTCAAGGGGCCGCTATCGTCCCCCCATCGGAAGCAATTGGGGGACGTTGATGCTGTGCTACCGCATTTGAAAAAACAACGTGAATTATCTACATAAACTACACTACATGTAACTTACTTAGTTGGCATAGCGTCTAACACGGTTTGCTAGAAGACGTCGGTGGGAATCCGGATTTTTTTCTAAGCGTTCGATATTTGTATTAATAATTATAACAAAGTAAAGGAGTAATTTCACGTAAAAAATAACAAAATACCAATTCAATAAAAATTTAAATACACTTCACCTATATATTTTTTCTCCTCTTGATTTTTTGTGTCAAGTTAATAATACAAAAAATACGTGTTTCCAATTATTTTTTGTGGTGCCACCACCACAAAAAATAAGCGTTGGAGATTTACCTAAGTGGAGGGTGAGCTAAAAAGTTTGGGAACCTATGGCGTAAACCGTCGCCTGA